TAGGTGCGTTCCTCTAAGTCTTCTTACCAATATGACCATGTTGCGAAAACAAGGTCAAACAACCTCTATAGAACGAAATAAGACTGCGACCACACAAAAGGCCACACCATCTTATCTTCATACCTTCGATTAACTATATATTTTTCTTCATTTGTTTGCCGAACCTGTTACTTATTATATACTTTTTTGAAGCAAGTATCTATAGCTGCTACTATTTTTTCGGCCTAATTAATATAGCCAGTTATACAGAACTATTTATTAAATTTTAACTCAAATTTACTACCAATTAAATGATTTGATTTGACCATTATTTTAGTTTCTCTATTTTTCTTCTGGCTCTTCCTAAAGGTCTATGCCTTGTTTTATGCTAGCATTCGGACCATCTTATCATAACTTTATTTTGAGCTTGCCTACTTCCACTAATTATTAAGTGGTAATCAAATTTCATTTATAGATTTCAGGATTCCTTTAAAATATGATCTTTACTATTTAAACGTTGTGTTTAATTTTTTTTACAAACACCTTTTGTCTTAGCTATCGACTTTATTTATGTTATTATTTTCTACATTTTTTGCATTCCGTTTATATGGGAGGCAGTTAGGTTTTAAAAGTTTAAGATATCTTCAATAAATTCACTTTTTCACACTTTTCATTTTGTCTGAAAGGGCTGTTCGAGAGGATTCTTAAATTGGCAGTGTTTTTAGCTAAGTAAAATTTATGAATCCCTTCTATGAGCCTTTCCACTCGGAATCAAATGTGAGAATTTAAAATACCATATGCTTTTAAACTCTATTTTACAATATTTTTACCAATACTTTTCGACTATTGATGTATGCCTCTTGTTATGGATTGACGTACTCTTCTGTTAATAAGAACGGTTACACCACTTCCCATGATTTAATGATCTTTATCATAAGACCTCATAAACCTGTCCGTTTCTTTACATCTTACTGCATAACAGTATATCAGGAAATTTATGAACTAAGAATTCAGATATGCTTTGTAGCCGCTCTTATTTCCGTTAATTTCTTGTTCTACTTTCATATTTTATTGTCTAAGACGGCAAAATTAACTTTTATTCTGTTTTGGATGTACTAATCTTTATACTAAAACTTTTATCCACTTTCTATACATCTTTTTTAGAAAATTTCGAACTTTTTAGAGGAGCAGAGCTTCTTCCTCCTAGGAACTGCCAATAGCTTGTCTCGTCTTTTGCGAGAAACTTTAGTGGGGGCCAGGTAACCTCTTTTGTACTTTGATTAATAAACTTTAGGCTACCACCATTCGCTGTTCTACTTGCGGTAGATGTTTTCACTCGCAAAGGATATACCCGATTGCCAAAATGTATCAAAGTATGATCACATACTTAAGATATATTTTTTGCTCCTTATCCTTACTCTGAATTATAATTTATCTTTTAAAGCTATTCAAATAACGGATTCAATTTCCTATTCATAAATAAGCATTTTTTGTTCATCTTACCACTCATCTTGATTTTATTGTCGCTAACTCCTTATAACTTAGACCTTTTAACATTTCAGAATCTCTTTGTACCACCTGATCCAATTTCTCCCCGCGAATTGAGCCAGGGCTTGTTGGATCTTAATCGCATTATTCAACATCGCCTTAGTATGACACAACTTCCTAGGCATTTTCGAACAGTTAAAATAGGTGAGACCTTATTCAACGAATCATGTTAAATCTTATTTTCTTGGCCTTGGCGACTCCTAACCTTCTTTTGCAAAATCATTTTTTTGTTCAAAACCTGTCGGCATTGCATTTGCACCGTTGATTCGGATCAAAGTGAGAGGAACTTTTGCGGGTGTTATGACTACATATTAATTTAGCTATGAATCCTGATAAAATATCTGAACATACGTCTTTATGCCTTAGTGATTTGTCCACACCCGTCTAGGTATATTTATTTGGCTCAATTCTATCGTAGAATCTTATTTTTATTTTGTGTATTCATTTTATTGACTAAGGTCCTTTGCAACATTTTTTATTTTTGGCCCTTGTTTTGTTCGCAGAAAATGGTCGTGTAGTTCTTTCTGTTCCGTATGAATTCGAGGTTTCTCTCACTCTTATGTCGGAGGCGCTTGACTTCCCCTGGCGCATTTTAGACATTCAGTTCAGGGTTACTGATCCAGAAAGTGGACGTAAGTTGTTTGTTATTTAAGATATTTGTTAAATATATTCCTTATTACTTTATTTTGAGGGCGCTGCGTGACAGTTTTTATATAGGAAAGATCTTATAATTAGCTGCACATACTCATAAATCTTGTTTTCTTTCAATATTAACAAAACCTTTTTCAGGGATTTAAATTTTTGAACCTGACATTTGGATCAGTCTATTTTGTACGAATGTACATGTTGATGAGATGGCGATGGCTGATTCCTTTTTTAGCAGTCATTTGGTTTTATTGAGATATTCGGGTTGACAGAATCCACGAGGCACCCACAAACGACTGCATTAATCCAAATGGTCGCAAAACTGCGGGAATCGGCAATTCCTTTCCAGTGGGCTCAACCTACGGATCTCTTCATCATAAATTTTCATAATATATAAAAGTCTCCATAAGAGTTTAGACGTGATAGCAATTTACTACCAGTCCACTCAGATTTGGACGATCCTAAAGTTAATAAAACACTTCATTGCTTCTCAAAATTTCATGTAAACTATTTATTTGACACGATATTGACTTGATGTATCTGTTTTCCTGTGGAATTTCTTGAAGCCCTTAGCTGACTCATCGGACGAACCAAAGTTATACAACCGCTCATACCCGACCTGCTTTTTATTTGTTTAACTATTTGGTATCACTCTTACGAGTGGAAATCATGGTTACTAAATATATTGGGCTCTGCGTATTTTAAGATCCCAATCTTCTAAGCTAATTATCAATTATTATCACTTAGCTTAAAAGCTTATTTTCACTCATTCTTTCTTTCTTTGCTCCCTACCAGCCACTATTTTACAT